GATGAGCGACAGAGACAACTCGGCAACCTTGACGGAGTTAATTTGGTTCCTGCTGGAGCAGAAATGAAGGTGTCAGGAGACCAGCACAGACTGATGTGCAATCCCTGGCATGCTCTCACAGTGGGCAAACCCCAAAAGTCCATGAGATCTGCACAGTGCACGGATAATCAGTGCCCCGAGGGTGGCACCAGGACTGCTGCCCGTAGACCCCAAAGGAGGAGCCAGGAGCTCTTTTCTAAACCGCTCTGGCAAACAGCCGTGCTGATCTCCAGGGGGGATTTTTGCCCTCGCTGGCAAAATGCCTTTTGTGACGATATTCAAAGTGCTCCAGCTAAACACCAGCGTGAACCAGTGGTACAGTGGCAAAGCCTGGGCAAGGCAGAGCTGCGGACTCACCTGGGCTCTGGGGAGCCGAGAAACAGGTCTGGGACTCTTGGGGCCATTAGGTCCTGCCTGAGGACTGCCTCTGCGTGTGGCTTTGAAACTTCAGCAACTGAAATAGGGCAGATATTTTATGAGACGCTCTGGAGCTTGTGGTCTGTGGCACAGAGATGGACAGACTGAAATCCCTCCAGGTGACACACTTCCACCCTTTCCTAAACCCCCCTGTTACTAGCCAGAGAAAGGGGATGATGAAAGTGAGCTGATTAATGGCGTAAGTTTCTGGTGACAGTGTTTGGTATTTCATCACCGGACTGAAAGATGCTGCTGCCTCCCCTCCCTGCTGATGGCATGGGAGTTACAGGGTCTGGACTTACGGTAGCTCAGTCCTGATGGGGTGAGGATGCCCCCGCAGTCGGGTGACCTCGTGGTGTGAGCGGGGACCAGGAGGCTCAGGAGGACGCTCAGGGTGCAGAGCTTCACCATGCCGGTGCCTGGAAGAGGAAGGCACCCGCAGCAGCCCGGTCAGAGAGGCATGGCCCTGGCCCTGGCCCGGCCACCAAGGCACGGAGCCATGCTCGGGAGCCACGGATCCGCTCCCGGGTTGGGTTTGTGGTCCCGAGCTTGCCAGCTTTTGTGCAATAACAATGCATAGCTCTCATGAGGTGCCTGGGGATTTAAAAGCACTAACAGAAGGCTCAGCCTTGAAAACTCCCTGCAAGTCTGCAAGCTACAGTGGTGCTTGCAGCAATATCATGCCTGCTGAAGAGCATATAACGGCCTACAACTGGTATAAAACTAGCAAATAAGCAGGAGCTAAAATTAATTGAGGAACGAATGGAAGTTATTGAGGAGGCTAAAATCAAATAAAAAGGTGAAAATGTTATCTACCTCTCTGAAAAACATTTGGGAATTGTTTATAATGTTTGTAATGCTCTTAGAATACTAAGAAAACAAGTAATTCAGAAAGTTTAACCTGCAGAAAACATACATATTTCTATCAGTCTTTGCAGAAAGCGGACTTCTGATGAGAACTGACCCTTACAGAGACACACCAAAGTAAGTACAAGCAATGCCTATATCAAGCAATTCAGTTTGCAAATGCATCTTTACCTTTCCTGGCCAGTCTTCCCATTCTTCTAACTCAGTCCGTGTCTTGCTGTGGCCACGCCAAGGAATTATGCTGGCTTTATATATCCTCACAACCAAGGCTGATGGGGCAGAAATTGGCAGAGAGGGCTAGAAACCAGGACGTGGGGTGGACACTTTGTTTTATATACCATTTTTATTGTTTCCCCATATACTTGATTACATTGGCCGTTGACCTAGCGAGGTGAAATATTGAACAGCAGGTGCTGGGGCAGCTTGCCTTCATTGTGGTGTTACTGAGGAGCACAAAGAAAGGTCTCTGGGTGGAGGGTGCCAAGAAATCAAACATTGTAAGAAAGCGAACATCGGTTTCTTTGCTCTGCAGCCATGCTTTCTTCCGAACACCACAGGGATAGCCGCCACCATGTCCACACCAGCAAGAAGCTGCTGTGGTTTGTATCGCTCTCCCAGCTGGGCAGCTCAGACCAGAAGGAATGAGACCTGCACGTGTCGCACTGAAGGAGGTCTTGACAATTCATCAAGGATGCCCTCCATTTCCATCAGGCCTGGGTAAGTCTGTTGAAGGCAACAGGAATTTTTCTCTTGGGTTCAGTGAGTTTTAGACCAGACAGAATATCATTTTTTTTTAAGGTATCTCCTCTAATCTCTGGAATGGCCCACGTGCAATAATTTCTTCCTCTCTTTAACCCATCCCAATCAAAAGCCACTGGCAATATTTATTACAACTGGTAGAAAAAGTGGTGGGTGACGTCCACCCTCTTTGATAATGTCTCTACAAGCAGTGAAAACATTCATGGAAGGGAGTCGGAGTCCCTCTCCTTCCTGTGCTTGGGGTCCATCGTGTTCTCCTGGCTTCCTTTTGGCCTGAGGACAGAGTGTGGACTACCTGCCAATGCCATGTAAGCGCATCCTCCATGGTCACAGTGCTCTGTTTTGTCTTGGTTTCTCCCCCCCCCCCCCCCCCCCGATATTTGTGATCTCAGCTTTGGGGCATGACCAGTCTTCCAGAGAGGGTTGAATTGCCCATTTTGGTCTGAATCCCTTGGCAATGGGATAAGGTGTTCAGGGCTTGTTGAAACACCTGCTGCCTGGGGAGGCAACCATTGTCCTTTGTGCATTGGCAAAGTGAGTTATTGGGCGCTGGTTCCAGGTGCATCTTGACATGTTCAAAGCCTTTGGCTCTCGCCAGTGCTGTGTTGCTTTCCTTCTCAGCATGACAGAGAAATGCCACGAAAAGCAGAGTTTCATCCACGTTGTGCATTTCCATTGAAGTCATCCAAAGAGCAGTGTCAAGAGAAAATATGAAGATATACGTCTAGCAGCCTACCGAGGGAGAGCAGGATTTACACGTTTACACTGATGTATGCAGCCCATTTAGAGGCAAGAAATGCGTTCAGAAAAGTAAATCCACTGAGAAGGTTGTAACCTGCAGACGAGTCCCCTGGGGCTGCGGGAGATGTTTTGTGGCATCTGACATCGGTAGGGACACGGACACAACATAGAAAAGTCTCTGAGAAATAAGTCTTTGCTGTGTTTTAGAGCAATGGGTGGAAATTTGCCCCTGCTAGGCCTTGTTCCAGTGTAGGTAATATCGGCAGCTCTTCCTGAAGCGGTACTGGAGATTTATCTGTGGAGCATTATTATAATTTACAGCAGTGCAAGGGTCTGGGGGTAAGCTGCCGGGACGAGATAGCACCATGTGCTTAGATATGGATTTTCTCCTCCTGCAGAGCTGTTCTGGACCTCATGATCTCTGCTGAGGCTTAATTAGATGTCAATTTATAGCATAATGACTGATCAAGTTACTAGCACAAAAGTGTCTTTCTGGCATAGTGCATTCCTTATTGGGAGTTATCTATAAATCTTATGCTCCTGTTAGATAAGATGTAAATCTCCCTGTCTGGGCTTGGCAGAGAGCCACCGAGTACCTCACCGGGAGGGAGGTGATGGCAGATTAAACCTCATGACACGTTTTATGCAGAAATGAAGGGAAGAAATAAATTTCTTGGTGCTGCAGGATCCCACTGGGGTGAACTCCCAGACCCGGGTCCTGCTGGGTGGAGTACCCAGGAGGAGACGGGTGAGGACACCGTGGTGGCCGGCTAGGCCCAGCTCAGGCAGGGCTGGTGCGTGGGCAGCCACAGCGACGGCAGCAGCAAGCCCAGCCCAGAGGAGAGCTTCATGCAGCCTGCCTGCAGTCTGGTGGGATGCATGGCTCTCCTGTGGCGGGACAGGGACGGGGCTGAGAAGCCTGTTCTCTGGGCAGGTGACAGTTCTTCTCAGCCTCACTCCAACCCTGCTGAAACCAGTAAGAACATTACTGAGATTATCACAATTTCCAGTGGGTTCTCCACCAGCTGATCCCATGTCCTCCCCTGGCGTTTGCACAAGCTCCATGAACCTTTGGGGAGTGAGAGACGCTCATCCCAAGAGTTGTAGTTACGCAGGTATCCCCAAAAGCAGAATTTACCATTACACATCTTAGGTTTCTCCTCGCCCCCGCTTCTGTCTGTACCACGTAATTAAATGGATCAGGTTTTTCTCTTTCGGACTTGACGTGCAAGTCTCCATTGGCTCTTCCTGGGCATTGAGCAAGAGCACTGGCTTCAGCCTGCTGGGAGCACGTGCCTGGTGCCTGAGGCTCGAGGGCTTATCTGGACTTTCAAATTTATTAGTGAAATTATTTGTATTGGCAGATGTCAGAAACACTCAGGAATTAGGTTACGTCACAGCAATTACCCAGCCCTTTCATTCTTTCGTTTTTTCCCCTTTCTTGGTCAGGATTTATATATAGGCTGTTTCTTGCCTCTCTCCAGGAGATCAGTGCAAAGCTTGGACAACCTCTGGCGACTCTCCACCAGAGCAGAACTGGGCAAAGTGATGGCAGGGCCCTTCCCTGCAGGAGTCCCTGTCGCGGCAAGGTGCAGCAGCTCACATCACTTCCCTCTGGTGCAAGCAAGAAGCGGGAGGCCAAGCTGGAGCAGACTGGTGGAGCCGTGTCCATAGCCTGTGGAGAGGCTTGTCACGCCTCGTGCCGCTGCCATGGCCAACAGCCGTGAGCTCTCCTGCCATTCCTGGGGCCAGGGCTCAGGGTGGCCCTGAGACACAGCAGGCCATGTGCTCCATCAGGCAGCTCCAGCCCTTTCTCCACGGCAGGTTTTAGGCATCATGAGCAGCTCTGGTGTTTGTGGAAGAGGAAGGCTTAGCGCCCCACTTGGGTACCGACCACAGGGCAGGCACGTCCTGATGGGGCTGCTCTGGGGTGTTCAGACATTGGAATTTTGGAGAGTGATTCTTGTATTCAGGCTGTGTTTTGGCTAGTGTAGCTCTGCCAGATTTGCACAGAGCCCTGCTTGCTTTCCTCGAGTGCGAGTGCAGCGTTTAGCCCCTGACGTGCAGTTTGGGAACCATCTCCAGCTCACCGTCTCTCTCTGTCCATTGAAGCCCACACACTCCTGTAAGCCTCTGCCACCTCTGGAGCTCTGTGAGCAGCCGTGCCGGATTGGAAGATGTCAAGGATTTGGTGCGTTTTATTCCTCAGCAGCTGGCTGGTGTGGTCAGGAAGAGCTGATGGCCCAGGAGCTGTCATCAGGATTGATCTTGGAACGATTGACCGCAGTAAGTGCTCAGCCACGTTAGTGTCTGTGCGTAGACATGAGTCTGTCCGTCCGTGCAGACAAGCGGGCAGCGGTGCACCGGCTGCATTGCGGCGGGGAAGCCGCCTTTCACTGCTGTGTAGTCTGTGTTCCCGAGCACATCCCCACCCTCTGCGTGCCACCGGCCGGGCGGGCTCCAGGCGCTGCCCTTAATCTGCAGCAGGAGCCGCTTCCTTGAGGTCTGCGCGTCCCATGTGGGACGCTGCAAGCAGGACCCCGCGGCTGTGATGCCCTGACGTGGGCACGCAGGTTGTCTCACCGGTGTGCGGTACGTTAAGGTGGGAACCTGAAAATGCACCTCATGTCTAAAATGGCAATGCGTGCGCAGCAAGCGCCTGCCGAGCTCCAACCGTTACCCGGGGACGGCAAAGATTGCTGGTAATCCGAATTTACAGCGCGCGAAGTGTCCTGATGGTGCCTGTGTGTGTTGGAACAGGAATACGTTAATAATGATGTTTTATAGGGTACGGTGGGGGGGTGCCGAGTCCCCTCACCCTCCGGCACAGGCTCCTCCCTGGGGGTTTTGTGCTAAACTCCTCATCTTGTGCAAATCTTCCAGCGGTCTCCACTGCTCTGAATGAGAGTGATGTTCTGCAGAAAATGGCAGAGGAAGCTGCAAAAAAAAAAAGCCAAACGCCAAACCCATCAAAGGCATCTTGGGGTGAGTGATGATCAGCAGCTTTACACCACGAGCCTGAACCTGAGAATGAGAAAATAAAAGCAGAAGGTTGGGAACTGTCAGCCTGGAGGCAGAAACGAATCACTCTCCGCTAACAAGTGTGATATTAAAGGAGTGATTTTCTGCATGGTTGTGTCTACAAATACATGGAGAAACTATAACTTAAAGGCAACAAAGCGCATCGGCTCCTGCTTCAGCTCTGGCTGGGGACTGCTGCAGTGGCTCTGCGGCACCAGGTGGGGTTTGCTCTCAAAGCTGGGGGTGCCCGGCTTTTGTCAATAATATCCTGAGGGAACCCCAGAATTTCTGGGGGATCAGAGCTGGCCCTCCATCCTGCAGATTCGTTCTGGGTGAAAGCATGGAGATGTTTTGAATGTCAAAACATTTTTTTCCAAATTTTTTCAAAATTAAGCTGTGCAATCTTTTTGCTAGGAAGAAACGTTTCTAAATTTAAAAGTGGTTTTAAATGGAAAATTTAAACAAGAAGTGAAAGAATAAAGGTGGTGATGGCAATATCAGTGATAGGTGACTTCGATGTAAGCAGCCTGACCTGGTTCCTCTGCGGGCTCCTCTTTCCCAGCTCTTTTCCTCTGGTTTTTTCCCCAGGCTATAAGTGAAAGATCTCCGTCCGCCGGTGATATCGCTGGCACTCTCGCCGGGCTCAGGGATCCTCGTGGCCATCTTAGTCCAAATGACCATCACTGGGAAAAGGTGAGCGGGCACGGGGAAGATCCGCTGGCGGGGCTGGGGTGGGCTCGCTCGCTCCCGGGCGTTGGCCCTGCAGTGACCGAGCTTTGCTCTGAGCAGCTTTATAGGAGGAAACACGGGAATCGCTCTGGCCGCAAACCTGACGGCCGGCAGCCGGCTGTGGCAGGGGGCTGCAGGCGTGCCCAGGTTCAGCTGCAGGAACTGCCACATCACTCTCGTTAGCGTTAAAACCAACCTCCCCAGCAGCTGAGTCCCAAAGGACAACATCGATGATTTGCCGATATTAATAATTCCTAAGAGGTAGGTAACAGCATTGTTAAATCTTTCAGTCTCCAGGTGCGGGTTTCTACAGAACACAAATACTTTTCACTGTTCATTTTGTCCACTAAGAAACCCAAAATCTTTTATGGACGAATTCAGGCCAGCTCTCTCTGTGTTATTCCATGCAATGTTCATCTTTAGCATCAGTCCTCATTTAAGTGCTGTACTCCTGGGATACCAGAGCTTCTTTTAGCCATGGAAACCTTTAGCTTTGTTTAAAGCCAGAAGATGGCATTCTTGAGAAAAGAGAGAAAACATCTTTTATTAGACATTAGGCATATTTTGGCTCAATCCATACCAGATACGTTTCTTTAGTGCTTGAGTTTCTTGCCTTTTGATCTTTAGTAAATAATCATTGCTATGTGCAAAACGGCTGTATCGTCTGATGTGTTGCCTCTGCCCAGCATGCTGCCCAAAGTCATGAGCAAGTTTCTGCACAGCACCCTTCAGAAAATGCTGCCAGGTCCGGCGAGTCTGATCCTCCTCCCATCCTTGTTTCCCGGAGATCGTCTCCTCCTCCTCCTCACTGCACCGTGACAGGTTTCACAGTTTTGCCACACAAAGGAGCTTGCAGGCTGGTAAAAGGGAGCATTTCAAGCAATTACTAGTTTTATGCAGTCAACACCTGCAGCAAAGGCACTGTCACTGCTTAAAGCCTCCTCGCCCCAGCCCGGCAGTTAGGGATGCGATGCTCAGACAGAACTGATCTCGATGCTGAGCACGCTTGTTCCTAAAGGATTGTCAAAGGGCAGACTTGCAGCCTCTTAACGCGTGTCATAAAGTCGGTCTGGTTTAGTCAGATATCTGTGGGGGGCCTGGCCCTGTTCTTCGCTCAGCTTAAGGCAGGTTTACTCCAGAATAGCCTAATTCAACCAGGGACAGAGAAAACTGAGGCAAACCCTTGTCTGGGTAATTAATAGTGGAGTGTCCTGGTGCTTCAGGGTGGGAGCTGCACTGGACTGCCAGCCACAAAGCTCAGCTCCCACTAGAAACCTCCATGCAGGGTTTTCTCACACATTTCTTGTTGCCCTACAGCTGTGTCCAGCTGTGGATGCAGTGCTCAACCTTGTGAATGCAAAACTCGCCACCATGATTTGTAAGTTGGCATCCATCCACCTCACCCGTCTTCCTCCCTTCCCCTGGCAAGGGGAAAGCACAGATCTATCGCCGAGGATAGACAATCTGCTGAGCCCTGACTAGGACCAGGCGGGGACAAACCCCGGCAGGGGCCACACGAATATCCACCCCCTCCTTGGTGCAGATTTGGGAGAGCCTGGCATCACAGAGGCTTGCAGGGAGGCAGGAGCCCACCGAAGCTGTAAATGGCACGTGGCGCTGGTGAACCAGAGGTTTGGCGCTGGTGAGTGCTCTCCCCACGGTGCAGAGTGTGCACCTTCTAATTAAGCATCCCTCTGCTTCCACACAGCTGAGATCCCTCTTGGGACTGCTGGGACCCTCCGGTGCGCTTTGCTGAACCCCCCAATGATGAGCGAAACTTTCATAGAGCTGGATTTGGAGGTGAGTGCTGCTGCCTCGTGCCGGGTCTTGGAGCAGTGATGTTTCTGACATCCATTTGCTCGGAGGCGTTGTCCTTCTCAGCCTTGGGCAGCAGAGGCTCTGGGAGGGGTGCAGACATGTGCTGGTTGCATTATATCACCTAACCACCTCCTCGGCTCATCGTTTTCTGTGGAGTTTATTGCTCTGTTTTGTTGCTGAGATTACAGAGCAAAGCATCCAGTACCTTGTACCTGGTCCAAATGCAAATCCTGGAAATGGACCTGTGCTCTCTGACATGGCGCTTCTTATTGGTCCTTTTAGAGCATTCTCCACCAAAAGGAGGGAAAGGAGGTTAACGTTCCCATGGACCAACCACCTCTTACTTCTCTGACACCGAAGAGGGATGCTGCTACCCAGCTTATCCTGTCTTCAAACTTCTTGGGTGCTGAGCTCTCTATTCTGCAGGCATCCTTCAACCAGGACATCAGCAATAACATGGTGGGTGGTTTGAGCTTGACATTTTCCTCAAGAAACCACTAAAGAAATCTACACCCATGTCCAAGGCAGAAGGGAGGATGCCTCTTCCCTTCCCCATGTTAAACTCCCCGCCACCCAAATGAATTCATTAAGTCCCTGTCCTGTGACACTTTCTCAACAGGTTCTTGGGCTTCCCCCGCTGGTGACCACGGTGCTTGGAGCCCTCATCCCTGAGGTGGGTGGACTTTGCTTGATCCTACTGGTCTGTGGCTCATTTCAGGCTACTTACGGCAGCAGATAAAGCTGCTCTCCGTTCACAAAGACATGCTGGGTACCTTTTTCCCAAGGTCAAACTGGTGCTCTCTTTATTTTATTAGTAAAACTTTTATTACTAAGATTATATAAGGGACATACTATTAAGCAGTATGGACCAGCTTGACTGACTCCCACTGACTTTGGTGAATGTCACCGATGCTCAGCACCCACCAGGATAATCCCTAGAGCAGTGAACTGGGAAGGAAAGGGGATGTCACCCCTTTGCTTTGACTCGCCACAGATTTCCAGGGTGCTGCCTCCATCACAGCCGGTGGTGATTGAAATGCGAGAAGTGAAAGCACCAGTGGTGACCATAACCCCGGACAAAAGCTTTGTGCAGCTCTTCAGCACCGCCGAGTTTCGGGTTTCCCCTTCAGACTGCTCCCCAGTCCCTCTTCGTCCTGCATATTGTGAGTTGAAGCCTTTTGCAGTTGGCGAGGGCTGAACGTGGTCGCCCCTGCCCCAAGCCAGCGGACCCACACCAACACCAGAGCGAGAGACGTGGGATAGCGGGCAGGGACGTCTGTCAGGGAGGATGCCTGGCCGGGGGGTCCTGCGGGGCTGGAGCGGTCGGGGAGATCAGGGTCCTGGTGGGGATTCCCTTTCCCCCGGCAGCACAGCAACCTGGAGGTGCAGTTTGCCATTGCAGAAGAAAAGCTGCGGCTCTCCCTCGCTCTGCGAAAGTAATGCGGCTGCCGGTCCCCAGTGCCACCACCAGCAGCGTGACAGTCCCTGGGCTGCTGGGAAGGCCACACGCTGCATCTCACCTGTGCATTTTCAGAAGGAACCTTTGCTGTCTCTGCATGATGTTTTTATAGTTTATACTAACAGCTATTTAAAAATGCATGAGGGCAACGTGACATAATCCAGCTGAGCTAATACCTGTTTGGGTTTTTTGCTCTTTAAGTTTGAAGAGCTGAACTTGGTTCAGGGTGGAGAAAATGCTCTCGGTGGGAAGCAGCCCCTTCCTGGAGGGAGGCTGGCAGAGCCACGGCACCTCTGGTGCAAGGGGGAGGTTTGCTGGGGGCCAAGATCTGGGTGAAGAGTTTGCTGAGGGCGACAGGGCAGCTTGCCGGGGGGCTGCAGGAGGCGAATGATGCCGTGCCCTTCCTCTCCCTGCAGTCTGTCTCGGGTGGCCTTGGCTTCCTCCTCCCTTGGGACGTTTGACGTGAGCTGGGCAGTCTGCGTTGTGCGTGGGGCTGGGGTTGCCACTGTGAATCTCTGTGCTGGCGGTTTGTGTAATGCTGTACCAGGAATTCACTCTCCGGAGCCCCGTCCTGCTGCTTTCATTATCAGTAACAGATTTGTTAAAAAAAAACCACAGAAGAAAACCAAAGTGAACATTGAAGATTGAAATGTTATTTCAAGGAATAAGAAATGACAAATCAACTGCCAAAACCGTTTGCCCACAGACATGAATGCTCTGGAAGGGGTCCCTGCTTGTAACGCACCTTGTTCATTCCTGGGAGAGTTTTGGCCATGAGTAACCCTCCCTGGTGCAGCACTGGTGGGGTGGGAGTGTGGGCTGGGCTGCCCTCAGGTCGTGTGTGCTGGATGTTCAATCTCCTTGTCTCCCTCTAATCCTGATGCTGGGGTAGAGATGAGTGGGAGGGAGAGTTCCCCGGGAGCTCATGCAGATAACATTTGGGCTGCCTGCAGCAGGGCTTCGGGCTGCGAGGAGGATGTCTGGGTGCCCGGCCCCGGCACTGACTGCAGGGCAGAGAGCAGGGTGCTGCTGGGGCAGGGAACAGTCTCATCTGGGGCAGTTTTCACTGAAATGTAGAATTTCTCAAATGTTCCCATTCTGCTCGGGGGGACCTCTGCTATTTTCCTGTGATTAGAGAAGGTGCTGGATGAATTGATGGGGTGAGCCCAGCGGACGCAGCTGCTGGCATGCAGAGCGATGGGCGGTCTACACCGCTTCTCTGTGTTCCAGGAGCTTCCACTGAAAAGAGTTTTGGCAGGTATTATTCACGTGGCTTATGTGCCATTGATTGACAGTAAGCACGGCTATGGCTTCTTCTGAGGATTTGCTAACTGCACGGGGAAAATAGTTCTCATTTCTTTTCCTATAGACTGTTGTTATGTTTTTTTTTTGGAAATGACATTGCCTGGCTGACCTTGCATGCTCTTCCTGCCCTCGAGGCTGTGAGTGACTCTGCCAGCAAAAATCGCTTGCCAGCCATTTCGCACCTGCAGGGTCTGCAGTGGGAGCTGGAGGCGAGCAATACCTCTTGGTCGGGGCTCTGGCATGCCCACTCCTTCACAGGCAGGAGAGATCTGCCTGCACAGAGCAGATCCACTGCAAAGGATGCAGGCTTCTCCTCTGAAGCCTCTTCGAACATTGTTCCTGTCCCCCAAAATCAAAACCACTTGCCATGAACAACTGGGAACAGTTTTCATAAGATCTTTGCCTTTCTGAAGTCTCAAAAAATCAGCATGTCCCTCTTTACCATGCCTGAAAACAGCCAAAGTGTCAGTAAAAAACCCCACCCTGGAACATCAATTTATCTGCTTAACTTGTATGGCAAGTATGCCAAAAGCAGAAATTTCAATTCATGCTAACATGCACAAACCCAGGAATTCCAGCCCTGACAATTTTCCTTCTGAGTATTCCCAAAACCCCTTGCCAGACCTTTGGCAGGCGTGGGCAGGCAGTGCGAGGGCGGCAGGCAGGGAAGCGCCGGAGATGCTGGCAGCGCCTGCCATGGCCCGAGGGCCTGTGACAGCCGCTCCCCCTTGTTCCAGGGGTGCTGCACGGAGGGGTGCCCCTGCCCGACCTGCTGGGCATCACCTACCGGTGGGCGAACATCAGCGGGTTCAAGGTAGGCACACTCGTGTGGTGGTTTTACTGTACCCTGGGTCATCCCTGGAGTTCGTGCCGTTAGTCCGTCACATCTGAGCATGGAAGCAACTGTTAAATCCTGCCCGTGTGCTTTTTATTTTTAAATCTGCAGAATGCTCTAGTTCTGGACATGTCTGTCACAGAGACCTGAGGTGTGGGGAGGTACGGCCGCAACACACCACTGCTGCGAGGACCCAGCAGGACCGGGTGGGAGGGGGAGCAGCAAGGGTGCTGGGGTTCCTGGGGTGTTTCTTCCTCTTTCCTTGACATTTGAATAGTTTGACTCCACAAGCTGAAATAAAAAGAACCCACCACCCATGACGAGACTCTGGCCTGCCGTGCGTCTAGTGGAGCCAGCTGGGCCTGTCTGGGCAGAGGTTGTATTTCTCGAAAGGACTGGTCCCTAAATCAATCACATTTGCAACCAAAATAGCACGTGCGTTAGCATGCTGCAGGCAGCAGCGTGGGCTGCCATCGGGGTGCAGCACCCACATCTCCTGCAGGAGCGGGGTGCAAGAAGGGGACCCTCATGCTCCCAGGGTGCATGTGCTGCAGAGGAGGGGAGTGTGTCTGCAGTTGTGTGGGGGGAATTAGGACTGCTTGGAATGAGTTAGAGTTAGGACATCTCCGTGTGTTTTTTAATATTTCAGAAGTGCCTAGCATCGTGGTTTATTGGCTGCATTGCAGATGTTGATCCCAAGCGCATAGGTCAGTGATTGCTGGCTAATTACCTGTCATTAGTAAGTCAATAAACAGCTTTGATCCTGATTTCATCAAGCTGACATGATTTGAACATTTTTTCCCGGTGACAGGTAGCTGGTGCAGAATTAAGGTTATCTTTGAAAAGATCATTGTGTTTTTAAGAAATTGTCCCCAAGAAAATCTCGCTGTGAGGCAGGCTCTGAGAACGCCGTTTGTTTTCTTGTGTGTGCTGCCAGACCCAGCAGGCATTTGTTCTGCAATGCGTGTAAGGAATTGTCCTCATCAGGAGTCCTAAGCAATGAGGACAGCAGCCATAAAACCAGCTCCCCAGGAGGACTGGTGTTTATGGTGCCTTCTCTCTTCATTTCACTGCAAACATTGTCAATGCCAAGCACATTTTTTTAAGAGATTTCCCTTATTGTTCTTGCATTAGCTAATAAACAATCGAACAGTTTGAGTCTGAATTCCCTTAAGAAGAACAAAAATGAATCAAAATATCTGTATGCAGCCCTCCTAGGAGAAATCAAGGCTGGAAATCTCAGGCGGCAGCTAGTTAATTTTTCATGAAACACTTAACCATGCTGTCAAGCTGCACTATCACAGAACTGGTATTTGATGCCCTGGGGCACTTGGTGGAGGTGCAGCCTTCCGACATGTGCAGGCACCAGCATTGTCCCCTGAAGCTGCACACGGACCCCGGCAGCCCTGATCCCCCCAGCAGTGGGGGATGTACCAGGCTCTCACAGTTAATGGTCCCAGAGGAATGAAAGAGCAAACCAAGACTGCCCTGGCTCAGGGGTCCCCACAGAGACGCTTTCCTAGGGCAGAAAGGCCACATCTGGACGATGCCATCAAGGGGAGAGCAGAACAGAACCATCTCGTTTTTCAACCAGGGCTAACGCATTTCACTTTGCCTGCCCTGGCCAGAGCCTACTGCCCTCTTGCTAATGCCAAGACCTCCAACGCTTCGCGGGGGTATGTCTCTCTTACTGCCTGCCCTTAGGTCTCTGTTTCCAGGTGATCCGAGCATCAAAGCAGCATCAGTTCACATCAGTCCCATTCTTCTCCCTTTGACCAAGTCCGTTCTGGTTTACTCTGCGTTTCTGTCCTCACACAGTGATTTGGCTTTGTGTTCTTGAGGTTTTGAAAGTTGCTTTAGAGGGACCTGGACCTCATGATGTCATTCTCTTTATGGGAATCTGCTTCGGTTTATCCAAAATATTTAATTGTCAGAGACCTCTGCATTCAGCAACGGCTGGTGAGAGGCCAAGTTACTGTCATGCCTGAAAGGTCACTGCTCAGAAGCTATTCTCTGCGGTGCCAAAGTGCCCCTTTACTGTGTGCTGACCATTATCAGGTCTGTCTTTATGGTAATTTGGGTTTCGTATAGTGCTTGCCCAAAGTATAAAGTGATTCAGGAGGGATGATAACATAATACCATCTTGTTAACACTCTCTTCCACCTTATCAAATGTCATGATCTAGCTGTGACAGCAAGGCTTTGTGCTCCCGAGGTGCCTGGCTGATCAGGTTGCAAGGAGAGTGACAACTCCTTAAGTACTTTGGCACCTTTGTCATCCCTTTCTTGGCCTTTAGCTAAGATATTTTTTAAAGCCGGAATTAATGTGTGACAAAAGCTGGCTAATCTGCTGGAAATACTTATTTCCAAGTTTGCAGAAAGTATTAAGTCTGAGCAAGCATTTTTATGGGCTATTATTCTTCAGCGTTGGGGAGCAGCCCGTCCACCCCTGCCATTAAAGAGCACATCAGGGGAGTGAATAGTTCACCGCTGTCCCCTTGGCCGGCGCATCCTCCTCTCCACCATGGACAGCCTTCGCTGTGCACGTCAGGACATGACCCACACACAGGGATCACATTTGGTCTGTCGCCCACAGAGGCGAGTTTTCTTTTTCTTGCCCCAAAGAGGTGCTGCTCTGGTGCAGCTTGAGGCAGCGGCTCCGCGTATCCGTGCGGTGCCGGTGATCGGGACCAGGACGAGGCGAAAGGGAAAAAGACAGCATGGCTGTGGGTGCACATGATATGTTGGCTCAGCAGAAACTTTTCTCCCTTTCTTCTGCCTGTAGCAGTAAATTATCTGGCAGTAAATGAGCCATGATGGACCAGGCGGGATGCAATTTTTCAGCATGGAAAAAACCTGGCCAGAAATCTAAGAGGGCAGGGGCCTGGATGGAGCTGACCCTGGGCAGCTGCATGGCTGTTCCTCTCCTGCAGCACATTTGTTGCATGGGGTGGTGTGGCAGGGAGGCCACTTCTCTTGATAAGCTCACACTGGGATCAATGGTCCCTACAGGACTTCAAAATGATCCAGAGCCGACAAGCTCTAGGCTGGGAGCTCCCTGGCTTTGTGGTCAATGGCACCACCCTCTCAACGGTATCTCCCCGTGGCAGTGCATCCCACCTCCAGTCTTCCTGGAGTGCTCTGAGGCAGAGGTGATGGACCTGGAAATAATGCCATGCCAGTTAGACTAGTGCAGCATTTCCAAATCAGACTCTCTCTGAAGAGTCTGTCAGCTCAGGGTATCCGTAAAGCTGTGACACCCCATCGATACACCTTATCATGGTGTCACTATTCCTTCCCAATTCAGTACCTCCTTTTCCTCAATTATCAAACGGATTATGAGCCATTCAGGTCACTGGACAGGCACTGTTGGCTTTGATAAATGTTGGGTAAGGTCACAGTCTTGCAGGCACGTCGGGATGGGAACGCTGTGCATGTCCTGCTGGCCTGGACAGTGAATACCCGGCTCTGTTACTATCTCCACAGGCTGTCTTTACATTGAGAAAGGTGCCGCCTGGTCCTTCATTTATCACCTATAACATGTGGCACATCCCCACCGCATGGGCTTACTGCGAGAGTAAAGTGCTCAGCACTGAGAACTGTAGAAGTCCTTAACAGCGAGGGGTGGCCAGTATTTTGACACATTTTTCAGTCAAAACCTCAATTTTATTTGAAAAAAAAAAAAAGTATTTTATCAGGGCCTGACTTTTCAGCCATGTCCGCATCTTGACACGAGAGCAAGCCCGAAAGGAAGATATGCTAAACCAGGCAGTGGTGTGCGGACTGGCGCCCAGAGCTGGCTGAGTCTGCCTCTGCACCTACCGGTTGTTGCTCAATGATTTACCTAACTCCTAACATCTCTAGGGAAATATTTGCGGTGGAAGTCACCAGAAACCATACATTGTTTGTGTTTTGCTCCCCACCAATTGCTCTGGATGTCCTCAATGACATTGCTTGCCTCTTTCCTGCTGTAAAGCTCTATATATGAGGATGCTTGATGCAGGTCATCTTCAGAAGACAGGGACATCGGTTAGAGAGCTCCTTGCACTCAAGACCTTGGTCAGGTAAGAGCAAACTTATCCCTCAAAAAGTGCTTTTAGCTTCTGCTTCTGCAAACCTGAATGCTTCCCAAAGAAGAATCCTTAATGTTTGTTTAGGAGTATTGGCTTTTTAACAAAAATTGTTATTCTTGCCTCCTGCCTGCTTGAATTATGCTTCGACAAGCAAAATATGCGGTGGCTTTCAATGTGAGTTTCTCAAGAATAGACATGCACGTTCATTGTATTTGCAGTCCTTGAAAAAGAAAGGGTATTTCATGGTTTTCATAAACAATTATCACTTAAATTATTTTTGGTATAACTCTGTTATCTGAGATAGATTTTTACCTAAGATGAATTAGACCTCTCACACTTGTTTTGATCCCTTTTTGATGTGCTATTTACATTTAAATAGATTTGGGACAATGAAGTTCATTATGGTTCTTAAAAAAAAAAAAAAGTTACTTCAAATTGTAGGTCCCACGGAAATATTTCAATGACACTGAAACTTTAAAAATTATTTTCTCCTTCTTACAATTCTAGCAAAAGGTGCTTTTATGCAGAGGGAAGCCTCAGATGTTTGTGCAGAGATCATGACATTCAAACAAGGAGATGCTAGCCTTACTAGATATATTGGTGCATTTGTCCTGTGTAAATGCCATTGCTTTTCTTCCTGTGACTAGAGACGATTACGTTGTCAGAAATGTCCTGTTTTCCCATCATGCGGGATACAGGATCTTGTTTCTTGGAGAAATTCCCACCCAGAACAGATGCGCCCCAGATTGTCCAGATCAGTCACCGACATTGCTCGCCGGCGCTGAGGGATTAAAGCAGGAACAACCACTGGCTTTTCACTTGGCTGCTGTGACAGTTGGTCTTTGGAACAACTGTTGTTGAAGTTCTGGTTCCTCCTGGAGGAAAGTGCCATCAGGAGTTTTACTGTGCCCACCAGTGTGGTGAGGAGGTGGGAGAGGTGCCAGCAGCTTCCTCTCTGATTTTGTCTTCCCTGACAGGCATTCCTCCTTTTTCTTTCCTCCATCTTCCTCTCTCCTTCCTCCACTAGCTTGTGCTCTCTGTCCCAGCATTACACTGATGGCAATCGCTTTCCACAGTTATCGGGACCGAAGATGTCTGCATTCTGGGCTGTTTTCCTCCTCTGCAGCCTGCTGACCCCTTCACAAGGACTCGGAATCATGTCCTCGGTTGCCAAAGTGGATGTAGATGGTAAGTGTATGGAAGAGACAGGATTCGTCTTTTTTTTGAGACCAGTTCTGCTCTTTCTGTCTCTTGAACGTGCTCAGAAAATCAGAAGCTGGTCCAGATTCATTCAGCAGCAGTGGCAATGCTGATAATTTGCATTTATAAAGCACTTTGGAGATGGCACTTCAGATACTTTACAGTCACTGGTGCCACCACCCCTATTGTATAAAGAGGGAAATAGAGGGACAGTGGAGGGGAAGGCACAGCCAGGCTGACACAGCATGCTTGTGTGCTGAGTCCACATAGCTCACAGTGACCTCTCATCCTTTTTTTCAGATATTGCACATTCACTAGCCAAACGTGACCTCCAGAAGCTTCAAGATAGTGTCCTTGGCGGCAATCTGCTTAGTGGTCTCCTTGAAAAAGATAGTCCTCTTGGCAGTCTCCTTGGTGATGATGGTGCTGTTGGCGGTCTCCTTGGTGGAGATGGTGTCCTTGGTGGTCTCCTTGGGGGAGATGGTGTCATTGACACTCTCCTTGACAGAGATGGTGTCCTTGGTGGTCTCCTTGGCAGAGATGGTGTTGTTGACAGTCTCCTTGACAGAGATGGTGTCCTTGGTGGTCTCCTTGACAAAGATGGTGTTGTTGACAGTCTCCTTGACAGAGATGGTGCACTTGGTGGTCTCCTTGGCAGAGATGGTGTTGTTGACAGTCTCCTTGACAGAGATGGTGTCCTTGGTGGTCTCCTTGACAAAGATGGTCTTGTTGACAGTCTCCTTGACAGAGATGGTGCACTTGGTGGTCTCCTTGGCAGAGATGGTGTCCTTGGTGGTCTCCTTGGGGGAGATGGTGTCATTGACACTCTCCTTGACAGAGATGGTGTCCTTGGTGGTCTCCTTGGGGGAGATGGTGTTGTTGACAGTCTCCTTGACAGAGATGGTGTCCTTGGTGGTCTCCTTGGCAGAGATGGTGTTGTTGACAGTCTCCTTGACAGAGATGGTGCACTTGGTGGTCTCCTTGGCAGAGATGGTGTTGTTGACAGTCTCCTTGACAGAGATGGTGTCCTTGGTGGTCTCCTTGGCAGAGATGGTGTTGTTGACAGTCTCCTTGACAGAGATGGTGTCCTTGGTGGTCTCCTTGGCAGAGATGGTGTTGTTGACAGTCTCCTTGACAGAGATGGTGTCCTTGGTGGTCTCCTTGACAAAGATGGTCTTGTTGATGGACTCTTTGATGCTGTCATTGATATTCTTATTGGCAAAGATGGTCTCCTTGGCAAAGATGGTCTCGTTGGCAATCTTCTTGGTGGAAACGGTGGAGATCTCACAGGGTAAGTGAGAGTGGGAGATGTGTGTCCCTGAACAGCCCTCAGTGCATCTGGGCCACGCTGGGGAAAGGAAGCTCTGGTTCGGAGCCTGATGTCTGAACACACAGGGCCCCCTCTTTCCACTCCTGGGGCAGGTTCATAAATGAGGGTTCAGCTGTTGGGAGTTTCTTGTGTGTGCCTGCCATGGAAGCGTGCCTTGTATGTGCCACAAGCTGCTCCTGGGTGGTAGGGAAGCCTGCTGACGCAGAGCGGAGAGGACTCCGAGACCATGGCTCCGCAGTCACCTACAGCACTGGGGGCTGAGGGGACAGGGCATCCGCTGTACAAATGTGCTACTTACCGTCTTTTCCTTGTTTCAACCATCCAGGGCAAAAATTGTGAACAACACCCTCCCCAAAATAAGCCTGCGCTCCCTGCCAGGCTTTGGGCACCAGGTGGGCTTCAACACCCAGCTGCTGGTCGAGAGCCCCAGGTACAGCATGTCCATCAGGGGCACGGCTCAGGGCCGGGGGGTCACCATCTCTTCGGAAAGTAGATAGCCAGCAAATTTCCTGAGCCACGTGTTGTGTTTCCCCCTGTGCAGTGCACTGGGCAGGGCGCTCTGCGTGCAGGTGGAAGCAGATGTGGTCATGCTCGTCCAGGACAAGCAGGCGGCTCTCCAGGACAATAAAGACTGCAAGACTTTTGACATAAACATCCGTGTGAGGTAGGCAACAGTGTGAGATAGCACCCATGTGAGATCGGCACCCACGTGAGCCGGGTGCTCATGGCCAGCACGTGGCCCCTGCGGCAGTGGGAAACCTTGGTGCTGTTGGCCATTGAAGGCAGTGCTTTTGTGCCTGACGCCTTGGAGACTGAACTACCCGGCTGCTGACCTTGGAGGGGAACTGCCGCCCTTTCTTTTAAAATTTGGGCTCAAGAAAGAATATTTCTGGGTTGTGCTGGGAACCTAGCATGGGACCAGATTCAGAGGGCTGGGTTTTGGTAACATTTTGGCACTGAATATGGGCCTGGAGTGTGCAAGCGAGGCCTCATATTTATCTTGTGTGAAGTACTTCTATTTTCCAGCCATTAATCTATGTCACTTTTTATTTCCTATTTTCCTGTTACCCAGACCCAAAGTGCCACTTCTGGATCAGCCTTTAAAACGCCTCCTTAGTGATGTCCTGCGTGAGGCGGTAAGTCTGCCAAGCAATCTTCATGCGAGCCACCAGCACAGTGCTGGGCGGGCGGGCGGGCAGCACGG